CTGCAATCAGTAAGTTTTAGCTCTTGTTAACAGTGTGAAACTGGGACCAACACCTCCTGACTCCAAGTAAACACTAGTGTTCTACTGTATCCCATTAATTTCCAAGGCCCCTAATGCTGCCTTTTATCTATGTCACTGTCATAAAGTCACTGTCATGAAAGCCAAAGACCACCATTCAGCTCTCTGCCTTCCCTGGAGGACTTTCTAAACTCTGAGACCCCAAGCACAGGAGAGAATTCAGAGCTGCTTTCTAGAGCAGTGGTCCCCAGCCAGTGGTCCACGGACCACTCCTTGAGGTTAGCCACCACTGTTCTAGAGGCCTGGGCACTGGTGCCTGGTACTGAGCCTAAGGTTTCCCCAATCAACAGGCTGGGGGGAGTTTGCAGGCTGACAACCAATCCACTGCTAAGACCCTGGTCTCCCTCCCCTCGCTGCACCCCCCTCCCCCACAGCTTACTAAAGCCCACTCCCTTCCCCGTTTCCCCTTGCCTCTATACTCCCATAGGGGACCTCTACTGTTTTCTGGGATACCCATCACCAGACCTTCCGCTGGGATCATGTGGGCATATGTCTTCTGTCCAAAAGAGGAAACTGTGTTGCCTCTACTAATACAGTGCCTGGCTCACAGCTCTCACGGGGCATCAGTGCACAGACAAGGCTGTCTCCCAAGGGCTGAGATTCCCACCCATGTCAAGCCACCTAAAGCAGTGGTCGGCAAACTCATTAGTCCACAGAGCCAAATATCAACAGTACAACGATTGACATTTCTTTTGAGAGCCAAATTTTTTAAACTTAAATTTCTCCTAACATCACTTCTTCAAAATAGACTCACCCAGGCTGTGGTATTTTGTGGAAGAGCCACACTCAAGGGGCCAAAGAGCCGCATGTGGCTCGCGAGCTACGGTTTGCCGACCATGGACCTAAAGGTATCCCAAGAGCAACAAACATCAAATAACTGGAAAAGCAGAGCTACTGTTTACCAAGTTTGGATAAGCTGGGTTCCTAGCTTTCTAATTTGGTTTATGAGCCTTGAGAGTTTGTCCTGTATTTTTGTTTGTTCGTTTTGCTCTTAGGATCAATGTGCACTTTAAGAGAAATTTCCGAGTTTTACACTCTCGAGGCTTGCCTGCTGTCTTCCAAATGGCAGTAATCGTGAATTTAGCTTTAGGTGCTTTAGCAAAGGAAACAAGGACATAAAAATGAACCGTTGATGCCTTAACTCCTTTTTGTAAAAAGTATTTAAAAGTTAAATAAAGATACCAATTCATTAACCAAATAATTTACAGGATTGCTAATCTGGTGTTTAAAAGCCTGGAGGCTGGCCCAAATGTCACCACTAACTCCTTTGGGGTGAATCCTGTGCTTTTATGGGCTTCAGTTTCCCTCCCTGTGAAACAGAGGCCAGTGGACACCTAAAACCACGATGGACTGCGGGCCTGTTATCTAAGTAATGTTCTGGGTAGGACTTGTTCCGTGTGATCAGAGAGAAAAGGACAGGCACAGAAGTTTATTAAACAAGACTGGAAAAGACCAAGAAGTGAATTTAAAAGTTGCCCTCTCCTTTTGGATACTGGGTTATTTATATGGCAAAATAATTGGTTCAGACTACAGAAATGCCTCAGAGCATTCACTAGAGAGCTGATCCTAATGCTGGGGAAACACTATTCTCTTTGGCCCAACCGTGAAAAAAAGGATTCCCCTTCTCTTCACTACCTACCCACATGGTCCTAGGCTCCCTCCTTTCAAGCCCACCTTCTCTAGCAACTTTTTTTTTTTTTAAATATATTTTATTGATTTTGTACAGAGAGGAAGGGAGAGAGAGAGCCAGAAACATCGATGAGAGAGAGTCATTGATCAGCTGCCTCTTGCACACCCCCTACTGGGGATATGCCCGCAACCAAGGTACATGCCCTTGACCAGAATCGAACCCGGGACCCTTCAGTCCCCAAGCCGACGCTCTATCCATTGAGCCAAACCGGTCCCGGCTCTAGCAACTTCTGATTCTCGTTCCTGTTGATGCTTTACAATTTGTAGGAAGCCCTTGTTAATGAGCCAGCCTGCTTTTTCCTCCTGTGACCTGATTAGAATTGAGGTCTTCTACAGGTACTCAAACTTCCCAAATTAAGCTCCTCTAGGACAAGTTCAGGCCTTCCTTAACCATAGTGAAGGAGAAGACAGTCTGAAAATGAAGTGAAGAGCTTGTAAAATACAGTGAACTAAATAACTAGAGAGATTAAAAGTATAAATTTAAGGCGTACCCCGTTTATTGTGTGTGTGTCTCTCCCCTCACCCCTCCTTTGTTTTTTGTTTTTTTAACCAACTGAAGACCTTCCACCAGCAAATAGATTATGAGTGGTCACATTGTGAGGATGTGGAACCACACCTATTGGAGGAGGTATGCCTGGAAGCAGATTTGGTTCAATTGAGACCTTAAGGCAGATTAACCCTTTTTGTTCTGTTTCAAAATTATCCTAAATTGCTAAAGACTGGGAAAAGGTGGCTACAAAGGATTTTCTACTTAAATGACAGCTGAACCAGATTATCTCTAAGATTCCTTCCAGCTCTAACATTCCTGAATATCAGGATGTTGTAAAGTCTGCACCACTGGCAGAGTAAGGCACTGTAAGACTGCTAAACTTTGGAAGCTGAAGCCAGGAAAAGGGAGTAATCTGAGTATTTGTTTTCCACTTTAAATATTTATAGCAAAAAATTGTTCTCCACTTTAATATTAATAGCAAAGGACAAATAAACAAAAAACCCTGGGTGCCTATTTACTGCTTTCTAAATTAACACTTGACATCTAAATTTCAATGTGAGCTTCATTAAGTCGAGGCAATGTTAACTTCAGTGCTCCATGTCTGAGTCAAGAACATTACCTGACCCATGATAGAAGCTCCTATATCAACACTCCAAATGCTGAAAGGAACACAGTAGTAAGTGACCTAAAACAATACTTCATTTCCATAGCTGTTTAGTTCGCAAAAGAAAACAGCAGTGTTTCTGCCAACTTGGAAATAGGGTATGTTCATGGTCAAACAAGTTTGGGAGACTTGAACAAGAACGCTGGCAATCTTAAAGGGGATGATGGCAGATGATTCAAAATATAGCCTAAACTTATTGAGGCCATGAAATCCTCCTCATCCGGAACATTTAGTGACACTCTCAGGCTGCACAGCAGCCCTATGTCATCTTAGGGATGAAGGCATGCTCCCCACAGCTTTGAAACAACTTGTCCCAAGTCCCATGCAATCAGTTCAGACAGCCATGGTAAAAGTGAGTTTAACTCCAAAGCCTACGGCATCAACCACTGTTTACTCTGGAGCTGTGACAAATTATCCAGGTGGAGAAACTTTTAATAGTGTACAGCTGACTCTTGAACAAGGGCTTGAACTGTATATGCTGATTTTTTTTCAACTAATACTGTAAACGTTTTCTTCCTTATGATTTTAACATTTTTCCCCTAGTTTACTCTATTGTAAGCATCCTATATAATAAAAGCATAATATGCAAATTGCCCCCTTGACCTGGGAGTTTGACCTACCGCACCAGTGAAAAGAATACATCAGTAAGGCTTCTGGTTAACGGAGACTAATGACCAGACCACTCATTTCAGAGAAAGGGGTCTGAAAGTAAAGAGCTTATAAAATATAGGTGAGCTAAAAGAATCTACTGAAAAATCTTTCAAAATAAATATATTCACCCTGGGGGAAAGGTGTGCTTTTCAGGATGGATGGGCATATAAAGCGAAGCCTATTATGAAAAAGGACCCCTGGTGATATTCATCATGTCCCTCAACCCACAGTCAAACAATGACTTGAAATGGGACAAGGAGTTCTCTTGGGATGAGTTTGTAAGATCTTAAAGTCAGGCAAAAATTTCAAACAAAATACCCTATCCACACCCACCCCAAATCCTTCCCATTCTTAAAGGTTCATCCTGGGGTATGGAGGGCACCATCACCAATTTGAAAGGATCTAGGCCTTGAATCAAGGCAAATCTGGATTCACAACACTTGAACTATGAAAAAGCTTGTAAAGAAACCAGCAACAATATAGTGACTTCCCTTATAAACTGATTAACCATCATTGTTCATGTCTAATCATTAATTTCAACATTTATAGAAAGAGGGAGGACTTTTAGAACTATTACCTAAAGTCCCTTCTGGAAGACCATTAGGACATAGTTGGTACTTGGATTATACCTCAGACCCTCCCTCTCCTCTCTGAACAGGCCCTTGACTTCCCTTAGCACCAGCAAGACATGTGAGCACTGAGAACCCGGGTGATCTACCTCCCTAGGAGGGCAAAGCCCTCTGCCTCACTGAGCCCAGTCTTTTCTATAAATAAAACCACTTCCCTGCCAGCCTCAGAGGATTAAGAAGTCTTTTAATATTGTAAAGTAGGCGAGAAAGATGTTAGATATTGTTGTGCGAGAGCTCTGGGCCCACCTGGGGGGTTATGATTCCACTGGCCCCAGAGGACTTGGCCAGGAAACCGACAGCTTGCTTGACTGCCCTGGGACGAAGGAGGGCTGGTGGTCTCACAGGAAAAGGAAGACTAGGAAGCAAGAGCTTGGGGGGTGGAGTTGGGGGAGAGGGCTGTGAGGCTATGTGGAACCAGACAGGGAGGGGAAAAGAGAGGTCCTAGAGAATGAGGGGGGAGGGAGGTTTCTACACTTCTTCCACCAACTCTGAGCCCAACCCTCTCCACTCCCCGCCTGATCTTAAGTTTCCTAAGAATGGCTCGCACATACCGAGCACTTATTAGGACAATGATTAGAACTTAGCGAGCGCTTGTTATGAAAATACCAGTTAACGTCCGTCCCAGGGACTAACTATTCTAGGTCCACGGCCCAGACGTGGGCCCCCATGGCAGGGCCCGGAGAGGAGGGTGTGTCTGGGTCCAGGGTGACAGCACCTAGTGAGTGGTCCCCGGGTCACTTCTGGCCCAGGCGCCCACAGCAGCGGGTCCGGGCCCCGCCCCGCCCTGCCGGGCTCCTACCTTTGAGCGAGGTCTCCACCAGGCGCAGGTAGAGCTGCGAGTTCTTGTTGCCGTGGCTCATGCGCTGGGCCAGGCCGTTGCGCTGCAGGACGCACTCCTCAAACTGCACCACGTTCTGGTGGCGCCGCTTGAGGCTGGTCAGGGCCCAGAACTCGGCCAGCGCCAGCTCCACGTTCTCCGGGGCGTCGCAGCGGATCTTCTTGACCGCCACCCGGGCCCCGCTGCGCCCGGCCACTGCCTCGTACACCACGCCGTAGCTGCCGCGCCCGATCTCGGTCAACAGGCTGTAGCGCGGCTGCGCGGACCCGCCGCCTCCCTCCTCCGGCCGCCGCCGCCGCCGCCGGGCCAGGTAGGCCTCGCCGGGCGTCTCGGCCGCCACCGGATCCATGGCCTGGGCCGCAGCCGCTGGCCTCAGCTTCGCGCTGGGCGCCCGCGGCACTGGGCTTCGCCTTTTCCTCTCGGGGCTTTGTGTACCTCGGCGGGCGCCGTCCGCCGTCCCCGTTTCCATGGCTGCTGCGGGCGGCGGGGGGAGCAGCAACGGCGCTGCCCGGGCCCCCCCTGCCTCATCCCTCCTCCGTCTGGCCCCGGGACGCGGAGGAGCGGGTGCTTGGCTTGGGACCTGTGGGCGAAAGAATCGGTTCAACGACCAGGCCGAGGCGGGGAGGGAGGCTGGGAGCGCAGGCCAGAAGGCGCCCCACCTCCTCCTCCTCCTCCACCTCCCTCCTCCGGCCGCTGCTGCGGCCCCTTTAAGACGGAAGCCGCCGCGGCTGCTGGGACCAGGGAGGGGCGGGGAAAGCGGGAAAGACGAAACCACAAGCCAAGGCGCGGAGGGGAACCGGAGAGGAAAGGAGCACCCCCACCACCTTCCCAGCTAACTTATCGCCTAGGAGTAGGAGAAACAAGTCCTCACAGACTTTACACGCTATTACAAACGCCTTAGAAGCAATTCAGACTGCGGAAATCTTTTTTTCCTGCGCGCCTCCCTGTGGGATCCCCCCAACCCCCGTTTCCCGCCCAGTGTTCTCCGGCATGTAAACCGTCCATTGAATTAAGTCCGAGCGGAGCGGCGCACACAAACTCACGTCTCCAGGGCAAGAGGGTGGCGGGCGTCGGCTTAAAAAAACTTCGGCCGCCCGACTGCGCCAGGCCCAGGGCCCAGCGCCCTTCCCAAGCCCCCGAGGCGGCGGGGACGGCGCCAGCCTTAGCGCTCCCTTTCCCTCCGCACCCGGCGCCCGCCCTTACCTGGCCGGAGCCCCTCCACTTCCGCACGGCCGGCTTCCCCCCGGGGGTCTCGGGCTGGGGAGGATGGTCCGCTCCCGGCCGGGGCTGCCTTCGGTACTGGGCCACGCGGGAGCCGATGGAGCGCGCCGGGCGTGCGCCGGAGCCGGGCGCTGCCCCGGAGACGACGGCGGCGCGCGGCGGGGAGAGACCGCCGGCGTCCGGGCCGCCGCGGCTCTGCTGCACGTGCTCGCGCCAGCTGAGCCCTTTACATAACCTCTTCGCGGCCGAAGCCCCTCCTCCGGCGGGCGCCCGGGCCGGCGGGGGCTCCTGGTGGCCCATTCCCCGGAGCCCGGCCGGCCGAGCTGCGAGCCGAGCGGTGTCTCGCCGGGGTCGACGGAGCAGCCGCAGACGCGGCCCAATCACAGGCGAGCGCCGCCGGCCTCCAAACGTCGGCGCCAAACTCCCGCGACCCGACCCGCCGCGGCCCCCTGGTCCCCGCAGCCGCCTCCGCTCTCTTCGCCCGTGCGGAGCGAGGATGGTCTGCACTTAGAAGGCGCGTAATAAATGCTAATTGGTTGACGAGATTATTCGGTTTGATTTTGGATTTATAATAGCTTCTTCCTGGGGACCGCCCGGACTGGGTTGGGATTCACACCGGGCCTCCCAATAATCCCTTTATCTTGAGTAAATCTTTTCTCGGATTGGAGCCTCACTTTCCTTTCCTGCAACATTGGGTAGACTGAGACTTACCTCCAGGGTTGCATGGATTTTTAAATATTGTGTTCACCGCTTTGTACCCCAATGCCTTAGTAAATGCCCCATATTTGTTAACTGAACCTGCAGATACTTAACCAAATTCTGTAATGTACTAGGCTCCCTCCTCAGTCGCTAAAGAGCAGCGAACCACAGTTTGTACCTTAATTGAGGTCCTGTGCCATGTGAGACAAATCAAGTAGGTTACCTTGGGCAAGTTAATAGCTTTCTTGTGTCTCCATTCCTCATCTGTAAGATAAGAACAGTAGTGGTAGGATTCACTGAGCTTATCCTAGTAAAGCACTTAGAACAGGACAGGGTCTTGCACACACACACAAAAATAGCTATTAAAGACACAGTATAAAAAAATAAAGACACAGTATAGCTTTGGACAAGAAGTGTAATGGAGAAAAAGAATAAGCTAAAGAGTACCTGAGGATTGGGGACAGGCCATTGTGATAGTGTGATCACTTAAAGACTTTTGTATATAAAATTTCAACATTATGTGTAAATTGCAAGACTAGTAAAGAATTCTCATACTTTTCAATCAGAATAACATTGTTATATTTTGCTATGTTCTCACTATCGCATTTCTCTTGTGTATATATGTGTGTAAAACATGAATTTTGTTTTTCTCCTAAAATTTAGGACCTAATCATTTTAGAGTACGTTTCAGACATCATGTGCTTTTATCACCACATGCTCTGTGTGTATTTCCTGAGAACAAGGACATTCTCATGCATAATCTCAGTACAGTTATCAAAAGCAGCGATTTTAATAATATGATTCTTTTACTTAATACACCTTCCATATTTAAATTTTGCTAATTGTCCCAATAATGTCCTTTAAGGTATTCCCAAGGATCCAAATGAGGATCACTTATTGCATTTAGTTGTCCTGTCTCTTTACTTTCCTTTAATCTGGAAAGACAATCACTTAGCCCTTCATCTCCCATGACCTTGGCTTTTTAAATATTGGAGAGTTATTTTGTAGATGTCCCTAACTTTAGATTTGTCTGACATTCTCTCATGATTAGATTCAGGTTATGCACTTTGTCAGGAATACCGCAGAAAGTTGGGTTCTCGATGTATCACAATGGGAGGCACATGATATTGATTTGTTCCAATGCTGGTGATGTTAACTTGATCATTTGATTAAGGTGATGTCTGCCAAGATACTCCACAGAAAAGTTAACTATTTTTCCCTTTGTAACTATCAAGCATCTTATGGGAAGATATTTTGAGATGATCCTGTTCTTCACCAGACTTTCAGCATTTATTGATGATTCTTACGTGGATTTATTGTTGTTGTTGTTGTTGCAAGATGCGGGTGGAAAGGCCTCTGTATTGGTCTGTTAGGGCTGCCCATAATAAAATTCCACAGACTGGTGGCTTAACAGAAATTTGTTTTCTCACAGTTCTGGGGGCTAGCAGTTCAAGGTCAAAGTGTTGGTAGGTTTGGTTCCTCCTGAGATCTCTACTTGGTTTACAGGGGTGGCCTGCCTTCTGACCGTGTCTTTACAAAATCTTTTCTGGGATATCTTTTCCTCTAGGACAGTGTTTCCCAAACCTCTCATGATGAGAACCACCTGGTGGAGTTGTTAAACTACAGATTCCTGAATCCCAACTAAGAAGTGCTAAACTAGAATTTTTGGGAACATAAAGGTTTAGCACTTCTTAGTTGGGATTCAGGAATCTGTAGTTTAACAACTCCACCAGGTGATTCTCATCATGAGAGAGGTTTGGGAAACACTGCTCTAGGACATAAATTATATTGGATTAGGGGCCCAATGAGCTCATTTTTACTTTATCTCCAAGTACTATGTTACATGCTGAGGTACCGGGGACTTGTGAATTTAACATGCAAAGTTGGGTAGCGTTGAAGTTGGGTGTGAGACAATTCAATCTATGACAGTCTCCTTGGAATATGACCTCTGAGCTGAGACCTGAAGCCAGCCATGCTAAAACTAGTGGAAAGGCATTTAAGGAAAGAGGGAACAAGTACAGAAGCCATGACACAGGAACAAAATTGATGTTAAACTTCAGCCAATTGGTGAGAATGTAAAAATTGTACAATCACTTTGGGAAAAATAATCTGGCAGTTTTTTTATTCGTCTACCTATGACCCAGCAATCTATGCCTATTTCAATTCCAAGAGAAATGAAAATGTATGTTTACAAAACATCTGTATAAGAATGTTTATAGTGGCTTTTCCCAAAAAATCCCAGACTGGACTCTGATGTTTATCAAGAAATGAATGGAGCCCTAGCTGGGTGTGGATAGTGTCAGCCTGTAGACTGGAAGTTCCTGGGTTCAATTCTGATCAAGGGCACGTACCCAGGTTGCAGGCTTGATCTCTGGTCCTACCCTGTTTCCCCGAAAATAAGACAGTGTCTTATATTAATTTTTTCTCCCAAAGTTGTGCTAAGTCTTATTTACAGAGGATGTCTTATCTTTCCATGTGCTAGGTCTTATTTTCGGGGAAACACGGTAGTTAGGGCGCATGTGGGAAGCAACCAATGGATGTGTCTCTCTCACATCAATGTTTCTGTCTGGCTCTCCCCCTCCCTCCCACCCTTTTTTTTTTTAATTTTTTAAACAATTTTAAAAAATAAATATTTTATTGATTTTTTACAGAGAGGAAGGGAGAGAGAGAGAGAGAGCTAGAAATGGTGGATGAGAGAACATCGACCAGCTGCCTGTTGCACACCCCCTACTGGGGATGTGCCCACAACCAACGTACATGCCCTTGATCAGAATCAAACCTGGGACCTTTCAGTCCACAGACCGACGCACTACTGCTGAGCCAAATCGGTTTCGGCCCTCCCACCCTTTCTAAAAATCATTGGGAAAATACCCTATGAAATGATGCTTGGGGGGGGGAAAGGAATGAAGTATTGATACAATATCATGAATGAATCAAAATAATTACACCGAGAAAAAAGAAGCCAGACACAAAAGTGAACATACTGGATGATTCTAATAAAAAATTCTTGAAAATGCAAAACTAGTTTGTAGTGGCATAAAGCACATCGGTAGTTGGGGTGGGAAGGAAGGGGTGGAATACAGAGATGTAGGAAACTTCAGGGTGATGGATTAGTTATCTTGAAATTCTTGTGTGCTAAGAGTTTCAAGGGAAACACGCTAAAACACTTCAATACTTTTAAGAAGTGCTGTTTGTGTACATTAATTTTACAGCTCCACCTTAATAAAGCTACTAAAAATGGAGGGGGAAAATATATGATTCTGTTATTGTAAAGCCAAGCAACGCTGAATGATGGTGGCAGGAATTATACCAGTGGTTACCTTTGGGGTGAGAATTGACCACTAAGGGCCACAAGGCAATTTTCTGGGTGACAGCATTTTATTGTGTGCATATTATACTGCAATAAAGTTGATGTAAAAGGTGAACAAACAAAACCCTGCCACCAGGGACACCCATATCTTCACTTAGAGCTTGGAAAGACCAAAGGCTGCCCATTGCTGCAGTCACCAGCCCTGTATGTTGAGTGGGCTAGTGGAGTCTCTCTTCTGGTTAGTTTGCTGACCTGATTTTTAAAAAAATATATTTTATTGATTTTAGAGAGGAAGGGAGAGGGAGATAGAAACATCAGTGATGAGAGAGAATCATTGATCAGCTGCCTCTTGCACATCCCCCACTGGGGATCATCAGGCTTGCAACCCAGGCATGTGCCCTTGGTTGGAATTGTACCTGGGACCTATCAGTTCACAGACTGATGCTCTATCCATTGAGCCAAACCAGCCAGGGCTGACCTGATTTTTAAGGGAGACGGGGTCTGAAGATCTAGGATGCACACAAGGTGTGAAATCCTTTTGTATGCTGCGAGAAGAACCAGCTACTTGCAAAATGGTTGCTGGCTTGAGCACTTCTGTCTTCATTTTTCTTGAGTTCCAGCAGTAACCTATTCTTAGGATGGCTAATAGCCAACTCTCACTAAAGTTTTTTTTTATCTGTCAGGCACAGGAATGAACAAAGAATTCTCATGCCAATCCTGTGATGTGGTTACTGTCATCAGCTCCATGTTGCAGAAGAGACTGAGGGAGGCAGTCACACAGCTGGGATTTGAGCTGAGACCCCAGGCTTTTCACGCCACCTGACCCTGCTCAACTCTCCCTGCTAAGCATTTTCAACAAACATGCCTACCTCCGTACCCCTGGAGCCTTAGACGTGTCAGACCATGGCTGGAGCGCCATATTTAGTGACAGAAGAAATGGAGGAGGAAGGGAAAGGCAACAGTGAGGTTTTAGGCCCTTTTAGTAGGCCCCTCCCTGCCTTTGAGGGACTGACAGAAAATAAGGCACAATGGAATTACAAGACTCCAAGTCACCTTAGTTTTACAGAGGACAATAAAGCAGGGAAAGGGTTTGC